TGATGGAGGGTGGAGATTTTATGGAGATCACAAGGCTTTGAACAAGATAACCATATCTGACAATTTCCCTATACCTATAATTGAGGAAGAAGATAACCATATCTGACAATTTCCCTATACTCAAATCGGGATACCACCAGATCCGAATGAGGGAAGAAGATAGACACAGGACAGCCTTCCGTAACCATGAAGGCCATTAGGAGTACCTTGTAATGCCCTTTGGACTGACAAAAGCACCTTCCACCTTCCAAGTCTTGATGAATCAGGTTTTGAGACCTTAAGTAAGGAAGTTTGTGTTAGTTTATTTTGATGACATTTTGATCTACAATCATTCAATAACTGAACACAAGGAACATCTAAAGATATTCCTACAAGTACTCAAGGATAATCAGTCATATGTTAACAAGAAAAAGTGTGTGATAGGGCAGAATCAACTAGCTTATTTGGGTCATCTGATTTCGGGTGAGGGAGTATCAGCTGATCCAGGGAAGGTAGAAGACATGTTGGAGTGGCCAGAGCCTAGAGATGTGAAGGGATTGAGGGGATTTCTGAGCGTAACAGGCTATTACAGGAGATTTGTGAAGGGATATAGTAAGATTGCAGCTCCTCTTACCAATATATTGAAGAAGGATGGATTCAAATGGAATCCCTCTGCGTCTTTAGCGTTTCAACAATTAATGAAAGCTATGACAACCTTACCGGTGCTCAAGGTTCCTGATTTCCGCAAGACCTTTGTGATAGAGGCTGATGCATCAGTAACAGGACTAGGGGCAGTCCTGATGCAAGAGGGAAGGCCTGTTGCTTACATGAGTAAGGTGCTGTCCCAAAGAAATCAGAATAAATCTGTTTATGAGTGAAGATTGATGGCCATATTATAGGCCATTCAGAAATGGAGGCCTTACCTTTTGGGCAGAGTGTTCGAGGTGCATAACTAACCAGAAGTTTAAAGTTTTTAACTGAGCAAAGGGTAATGGGAGAAGAACAACAGAAGTGGGTTACCAAGTTGCTGGGGTACAACTGCGTTATTAAGTATAAGCCGGGTTGTGAGAATAAGGCAGCAGATGCCTTGTCTAGAAAAGGAGATTTGCTGAGCAAAGGGTAATGGGAGAAGAACAACAGAAGTGGGTTACCAAGTTGCTGGGGTACAACTGCGTTATTAAGTATAAGCCGGGTTGTGAGAATAAGGCAGCAGATGCCTTGTCTAGAAAAGGAGATTTGCTTAGTTTATCAATTGTCACCTGTCAAGAATGGGAGGGATTGGAGGAAGAAACAAGGCTATCCCAAATATCATGACATCATCCAGACAGTGCCGGTAAAACCAGATAGTTTACCAGGGTTCAAGTTCAGAAACGGGCTCTTGTATTACAGAGAAATGTTGGTGCTTCCCAGGCAGTCACCTAGGATACCCATAATCCTGAAGGAGTTCCATGATTCAGCAACAGGTGGGCATGCCGGGCCTTTCAGGACTATGACAAGGATTTCAGCTTCTTTCTATTGGATTGGCATGAGAACTGACATACATGAGTGTGTGCGGCGATGTGAAGTATGTCAAAGGAACAAAATATCAAACCTTGAGCCCTGCGGGATTATTACAACCCTTACCCATTCCAGGACATATATGGACTGAAATAAGTTTGGATTTCATGGAGGGCCTTCCTCGGGCTCAAGGAAAGGATACGATTTTGGTGGTGGTGGACAGACTCACCAAATACACTCACTTTATAACCCTTGCCCATCCTTATACAACCAAGGAGGTGGCAGAAATTTTTGTACGAGAAGTGGTAACATTTCATGGATTTGCTAAATCCATAGTCTCTGACAGGGATAAGATCTTTTTGAGCTCTTTTTGTTCTGAAATGTTCAAGAAGTTGGCTGGCACAAAAATGAAATATAGCACAACGGATGGTCAAACCGAGGTGGTAAACAGGTGCCTTGAGACTTATTTGAGATGTGTTACTGGAATGAAGCCTAAACAGTGGCCTAAATGGCTTTCGTGGGCTGAGTATTGGAATAACACCAATTACCATATAGCCCTAAAGAATACTCCCTATAAAGCTCTCTATGGACAAGATCCACCAGCTATTGTCAAGGGAGATTTAACTGTCACAACAGTGGAGGAAGTCAACAAGTTGACCAGCGAGAGAAATCTTATGTTGGAAGAATTGAATAAGAGTTTAGTTGTGGCTCAAAATAGAATGAAACAACAAGCTGATAAGCACAAAAGGCCATTACAAGTGGAGGTGGGGGACAGTGTTCATGAAGATTCAACCTTTGAAGATGAAGAGTTTAGCTAAAAGGTTAAATAAAAAATTGAGTCCTAGGTTCTATGGACCTTTTGAAGTGTTGGAGAAAATAAACTCCGTAGCTTTCAAACTGAAACTACCTGAGGGTTGTACAGTACACCCTGTGTTTCACATCTCACTGCTCAAGAAGGCAGTGTCACCTAACCTGCCCTGCTAGCCTCTTTCCACCTGCATTTCATAGGAATGGGAGTCCCAGGTTCATCCGAAGAAAGTGGTTGATTACAGGACCACTGCTAAGGGAGTCAAAGAAGTGTTAGTACATTGGAAGCAACTGCCAGCATTTGAGGATTCTTGGGAAGAGTTGATCAAGTTTCAGAAGCAGTTTCCATAATTCCACCTTGCGGACAATGTTGTAGTTCAAGAGGGTAATGATAGGACAATGGGTGTGGAGTATTTTAATATGGTGTATGTAAGGAAGGGAAAATGGGCGGGAGTTAATAAAATTGTATGATGGTTGCTTGAAGTTTTAAATATGGGCGGGAAGGCTAATAAAGTTAGGCTGATATTCAGTTGGGATTTGGCTGGCCTTGGCTAGAGAGAGAGCTCCCCTTTCTTACTCTAGATCTCGATTTCATACTTCCTTCTTGTAGTTACTGAACTGGATTTTTCTGAGAGTTCCTCAGGTCCAGAGTGATCAATACAATAACATTTTACTTTGTTAGTCTGTCTAACAGTTGCCGGCAATTCTGGTGTATCAGCGTGTTACGCAGGCCGACCTTCTTCGTTCGTGTCTCAGCAATCATCTGCCTCAGCATGGTTCTAATCTCTGCCAAATCGCGTTCATCCTTTTCTATTCTTTTCTCCATTTGCGGATGCACAGAACTAATCCTCAGCGATTGAGACGGCTCTGATACCAATGATAGGTACTGCACAATTGACTGTAATATTAAATCTGGAAATAGGAGTCGTGAAGCTATTACAATGGCAGACGAACGTAATTGACGTACAGAGCATAAGGACGGAAAGAAGGAAAAGAAAAATTGAGACACTTCAAGTAGTCTCGCACTCTTAGTTCCTAGCCAAGTCCCAAGTTCTGCCTCCCTCCATTCTTCCCCACTTCCCATTCTTATAGTAAGTCTATTCTTAAGGGCCGGCCCAAACTCATGAATTATATGGCCCAGCACTCTTATTTGTACATTATTACATTATTTAATATAATTCTATTATTCTTATTATTATTGGCTGTCCTGGTCCCCATCAATATGTACAATTCTAGATGTAAAACATCAAAAGAACTCGATTTATGTATTATATATATGTACAAATTCAAGATGTAAAACATCAAAAGAAGTCAAAGTATGTATTATTATAATGTATGGCACCTAGACACAAGTCTGGCGCGAACTGGTGGCCCAGCGATCGCAGCAACCATGACTTCATATACAGAAATACAGAATCATGGCTACCTTTTTCATAGAAATTTCGTTTTGAAATTGCAAATCATTGACAACCTTGAACTTGAAATTGTATTTCACATAAAGATTACATGATGATATTGTTAAAAACGTGTTTATATAAATATGCAAAGGCTGAAGTAAAAGGCACATCTGGTAAGTGTTAGAGGGGTTTGAAGACATCTCTGCTGATGATTCTCTTTGCTGATTAATATAGCATTAGAAAGTCTTCATTCAAGTTGAAATATTAGTTAGCTGGCCATATCTGATCTAATGGAAGTTTAGAGTCCTAATATTGAAATTGTATCGTTTTAGAATATGTATAATTTCACACTTTCACTTCACCCAAAGCTTAAATTATCATTGCATATATGTTTTACATTAAAAGAAATAAAAATTACAAGGAACATAATAGAAATTTTAAACCGAAGATGAACCTTGACAGTTGACATGGCATTCCGTGCTAGCACCACATGTACGAAAGAATCTATTATAAATGCAAAATAATTGAGCATCGAGTAACCTTGATATCAGCATGTAACATTCTAATTGAAATGATTTCATGAGTTTTTTTAGTTAAGTGGTCCAAATACACCTGTTAGGGTTTGGTGTCTTAATTGCACTTTTGATTATTGATTCTGGTAGATGCCTTTAGCACAATATTTTCAAAAGCTATATGGGGACTTTCATTGATGGGAAGTCCCTGACTTTATGGTGTCTATTGGTTGACAGCATCATTAGACTTTATAATGTTTTCAATAAGATAAAATCCTACAAGCTGACTTGATGCAATATCTCTTTCAACCTTTACAATGGCTATATATAATGGATGAACGGAAAAGAAAGATCAGCATGGATACCTTGCATCTAGTTTTTAAATTTGCAACGTCATCGAGTCATTCAGTGAAGCATTCAGTCCCCAATATCTTTTGGGACTAAGGCTTGGATGTTGTTGTTGTTGTTATTGAGTCATTCAGTGAAGCACTGTTTCAAAACCCAAAGCAGCGGGAAAAATGTGTTTCTGCAATGTTTATCCTCTGAACCTTTTTTGTTAAATAAAAACATAGCAAGTATGATACTATGATCCCATGCCTAGAGTTTTGAAGTCTCAACAACAGTTGAGTGGAACTACTGTTCGAAAATTAAAAATCTATGTTTATACTTATCTTGTTAATGCTAAAAACGAGAATAGTATGGTGGAAATAATTTGTCATCCATTTCATTTTTGCATAATATTTACTGTGAGATGTCAATGAACTTGAAAGGTTCAAGAGATGATGTATACTTTCCTTGAATGTATCAGGTGTGTCGATATTGCCAGCAGCAGCCAGAGATATCAATATGTTTCATTTGTCAAACATCAGAGAATCTCTGGATGTGTGTTATATGTGGTTTTGTTGGTTGTGGAAGGTAATGAACAAAACCAGTATGTGAGTGATTTCTTGTTTACCAACTGAAAAGTGGGGTTTCAGTAGATGTATTTTTCATGCAGATATAAAGATGGACATGCTAAACAGCACTGGAAAGAAACACAACACTGCTATGCACTTGAACTGGAAACAAGACGTGTCTGGGACTATGTTGGGGATAACTATGTTCACCGTTTGATTCTACATAAAACTGATGGTGAGGTAGTTAACTATGAAGGTGGCATTGATCCTGTATTCAGCGAAGCTCTTCAAAACAGCAAAGTTGAAGCTGTATGTTTCGTCTCTTCCCATCTTTGTCTGTGATTGTTTTTTTGTGCGTCTCATTCTTTTAATTTGTTTAGATAATGATTATCTCTAAATTATGAAGCACGGAAACTCTCCGCGGCTCACGTTTCCCCGTTTCGGAAACTCGAAAGCGTGTCGGAAACTCGGAAACTTCAAATTCCCGTTTCGGGACCGTGTTCGTAATTAATAAGAATTGGGAAACCCGTTTCACCAATTTTTTTTCTTTTTTAAGAGGTCCTATGATGGAAAATAGTGTCTTAAAAAATAGTGATTTTTTGTGTTATATCTTTGTAGCAACATTGTGGCATTTCATAACACAATGCATTGCTACGAATGAATTGCATTCTATGTTTAATTATGTAATAGTATGTAATAATTTCTAAATTTGAACATGTAGAATGCTTTTATTATTGGGCTATTAAGCAAGTTATGTGAAAATATCGTGTCGTATATATCAATGAAAAATCTGTATACATATGAAAAAATATTTACAAATATATCCTTATATGTTTTAATATTTACGCGTTTCCCCCACGTTCCGTATCCTATGTTTTCTTGAAATCACGTTCTCGCGTTTCCCGTTTCACGTTTCCCGTTTCCGTGCTACTTAGTGACTCTAATCTTTAAGAATGTCCTCATGCAGATTGTCAGCGAGTACAATGAGCTTCTGACAACACAACTTGAGAACCAGAAAGGGGTTAGCATTGTTAATTTGCACAAAATTGAACTTATTTGTGACCAAACTTTACAAGTGATGAAGTGAAGCACACCTTTAGTTTTTTGTTGTAACATTAACGAATGCTTTATAAAAATAGCGCTCACAATTATTGTAGTAACAGTCTACTTTCAATTCAGTACTTTGAGTCTTTACTACGAGAGGTTGAAGAAGAAAATGAAAGGGAGACTTCAGAAGCTGTTGAGAAAGCTCTAAGACAGAATACTAGGCTGATTAAGTTGCAGGCACGGTTGGACAAATGCTCCAAAGAAAAGAAATTTCAGGATGATGTGAGTTCCTAAGTGTAGGGCCTTTGCTCATTTAAGCTCTACAACATTGCACCTTCCCACTTTGTAACAGGCAGATATCCTCATTTCATGGTGGGGACACTGATGTATTTTTCTTTCAATTGCAGATCCATGACAATCTTGTGAGAAACCAGAAAATATGGGAATCCAAAATTGTTGAAATTGAGGAAAGGTATGGTTGAAATGGCTGTTTCTCTACTTTTGCATGCAATGGCTACTTGATATTTCTAAATATGTTTTCCAAGTCTCCACTACCCGTCTGTTAGTTTCTCATTTTTTGTTTATGGATTCTGGGTATGTTTGAGGAGATGATTATTTTGGGCGGTGGGGTGGGGTCCGTTACTTTTTCATTTCCGTTGTTGTGGGGTGTGCTATCTATTTCTCTTTCCCTCCGGAACACAAACACGTACAGCTTTGTGCATTTATAAGAGGACGTGTATGTATAAAAATTGGTTTACATGTTCAAACATGTGAACCTGTAGTCTAGGTGTCTTTTATAACCAACTATTCATTGGGAGTTTCGTGTATTAAACATGAAAAAATCAGCCAAGTATGTGTTGGAAATACATTGTTTGTGTGCCTCTTTGTTTTATTCACTGCTTGCTACAGAGTTGTCTCATACATGACATTGCTGACAAACACTAGGGTCTAACGCATCTGGGGTAATCTTTTGCTTAAACTCACACCAGCCACCTTAATGCTTTGATTGGTGAGAGGAGAAGAAATAGAGGGATGTGAAGTAGTTAGAAAAAGAAAAGTGGAGAAATAGGTGAATAATAGAGAGAAATAAAAGTTGACTGGTTGAAGAGATGTGAAAATGGAGAGGAAATATTTGAATTGAAGTAGTTTGGTAGATAAAAGAAGATTACGCAGTACTAAAAAGTGGAATGTCTTCTCATTCATATACTCCCTTCGTCCCCCTATAATTGTCCCATTTTCCCATCTTTGGATGTCCCTTTATTATTTTCTCATACCATATTTGGTAACATTTGTGTGGCTCTAATTCATTCTTACTTTATTTCCACTTTATCAGCTCATTATCAACCACATAATTCTACTTTTCTTAAAAAGCACACAACTCCCTTCCGTACCAATATTAGGGGGACGGAGGGAGTATTATTCATTTATTTCTTCCCATTTCTCCTCTACCAAAGTAAAGACATACATCGAAATCCTTGATTTCCTCTCCTTTCACATATTTTCTTTTTCTTTACAATCCATTTATTTGCGTCCAGACACACTTCAAAGGTTTAATCATGCCTCATGCACTTCTGTGAATTCAAACTCTGGTGTCAAGAGTCTATGTTGTACGGCTCTACCACTTGAGCTACAACTCTCAGTGAATAATTTGTATTTGTATCCATGAATATAGTGAAATTGCCAAATCTATTCTGCTTCGATTGTTAGTATAGCTGAAACTATCGGAGTAAAGGCAAAGCTCTAGTTCTTTTTATTGCATTTAAATTTTAAAGCTGTCTATGTGTGCTGGGCTCAAAATAATAGGGAACACAAGCTCTCAAAGGTGAAGGACCAAAAGATTAAGGACTTGGAGGAAGAGGTATCAGACTATTTGGTTTGCTCTGGTGTATCATGTACCATTTTTTACTTGTTTGGCATCCTCATGTTGACTAGAGTGAATGTCCCGGGTTTTATTTGCAGCTTATGAATATGATGGCATGCTTAGAATCAATGAATACAACACAACAGCCATCATCAGATTAAACCTGGAGAAAGAGCCAGGAATTATCTGGCTGTGATTTTCCATGGATTTCATGTCGAGAGAATTCCCCGTACAGGAGCAAAACATATAGAAAGTGTAGAAATAGGAGTGAGTTTGTAAAATTCCCCAAATAGGAGTATTCTTTAAAGCTTGGACAAGACCACCCCTGCCGGAGTTGCCACCGGAGTTTCTGTCAACTGCCAGTCGCCGGAATCCGCCAATAATTTCCAGATCAGTCCTGCCCCCTCGTTACACTTGCCGGCGTCGTCAGTTCGGCCACCGCCGCCGCTGTCGGCCGGAATCTGCCGCCACCCAAAAAATTCCCAGAATGTTTCTGCTGGCATTCTGACACAACTTCTGCCTGTCACCGGAGCTCCACCTCCGCCCACCGCAGCCCGCTACCAACAGCCTGCCCCGCCACCGACGGACTGCCCTGGTTGCCCAAGGGAACTAGGGGGATTAATTAGAATAGGGGTATTAGGGGTAAAAACAATAATGTTTACTTCTATTTGGGGAAGATTAGGAGTTAACCCCTATTTCGGGAAATGTGTTATGTTTTACTCCTATTGAGAGCAATTACTTTTTCACGTCTGCTGCAGATCTGCCTCGAGTTGTCTCATTTTCATGAAACTTCTTCTTTCATGTCTGGTGCCTGTGAAATTTCATAGCATTACAATGATGAACGCTTGTTTCAAAAGAAATGACCACCCAGATCGTGGTAGTGATGAATGTTCATCCTGAGTATGCTGGACATATTTTTCATTATTTCGTATTTTCGCTTCAGATTTAATAGTTAATAATCTTATGTGCAGACACTGTCCTCCGTGTAATATATAAAAAGAGGAGTGCCTATACCGTACGACCGGTATAGAGCACCGTATACCGGGTATGGATTTATATTTTTTTTCCCTTTTGTTTTTAAAAAATGGTAATAACTTTTTTATTTTTGATCCGATTTTTATAAAATTTATATCAACATTTTTTATTTTTCATGATCTTTCAAATGAGACCAATATTGCCTATGTAATTTTAACATATTAACATTTGCGTGTAAAATATGTAACTTTACGTGTTAAAATATGTAACTCATGTTCAGTCAGGTCAAATGCAACTCGTGTGTATAAATATGTATCTCTACGTGTAACAATATGTAACTTTACGTAAAAAATATGTAACTCGCGTTCAGACAGGTCAAATGCAACTCGTGTGTATAAATATGTAACTCGCGTGTATAAATATGTAACTTTACGTGTAAAAATATGTAACTTTACGTGTAAATATATGTAAGTCGCGTTCAGGCATGTCAAATGAAACTCGTGTTTATATATATGTAACTCGCTTTTAAAAAGATGTAACTTGCTTATAAAAAGATGTAACTTGCTTATAAAAAGATGTAACTTGCTTATAAAAAGATGTAACTCGCTCATAAAAAGATGTAACTCAATGTATTATCAAATGTAACTGAGGCTACTGATCCACTCCCAAACAAATTCGATCTTCTATTTCACAAACCTATCATCTCCCAAACAGATTCGATTTTTCTTATAATCCAATACTCATTAATATAATAGTTCGATAATTTCTTAAAATTACATACACAATATTGGTCTCATTTGAAAGATCATGAAAAATAATAAATGTTGATATAAATTTTATAAAAATCGGATCAAAAATAAAAAAGTTATTATCATTTTTAACATCAAAAGCAAAAAAGAAAAAGAAAAACACTGCGTCGTTTTTGCAACCGGGCGCACCATCCTCATGGTGCGCCGGTTGCACCATATAATTTGCCATATAAAAAATCGCAATCCCACTTGCTAATAATTCGTGTTTTTTTCATTATTACAGGAACTAGCTATAGTCAGTGAGCCGCGATGCGTCTCTAAGAGCCAATTTACTAATGTTGAAATTGATTGAATGAGCCGAATTTGTTAAAATTGTTTAAATGTTAGGTGAAATTATTGAATCTGTTCAAATTGTGAAAAGGTATATATAAATTAATACCTCCGTCCCCTTAATATTGGGACAGAAGAGTGTAGTGTGGTTTAAAAAAAGTATAATTGTGTGGATGATAATGAATTGATAAAATGACATTATGAGAATAAAGTAAGAATGAGTTAGAGTCACTCAAATAGTCAAATGTTATCAAATATGGTATGAGATGATAATAGGGGGATATTAAATAAATGAAAAAATCGGACAATTATATAAGAACAGAGGGAGTATCTTTTATGAATGAATTAAAGAAAAAATTATATGAAAAAATTTAAATAGTCTTCTTCTCACAATCAAATAAATGATTTCAATTTTATTTAATTTGATAAAAAAAGTAGGTTGACCAAATAGTGAGTACTGGCCCAATTAGGGATGGACTAGGTAGGGTTGAATCGACCCGCTATTGTGCGGCACCCCGGACCGGCCTGGGTTCAGTTGGCTGGTTCCGGGACCCTGGACCGGCCCGTTTTGGCGGGCCGGGCTCGGGCCCCATTTTTGTTGAACCGGCTCGGGCGGTTTGGGTCGGGCTTGTTTTTTTTTTTTGCCTTTTCAATTTTTTTTTCTTTTCCTAGGTTAGGGCTGGGTGTTTTGGGGAGGTTTGGGGGTGGGGGTGGGGGTGGGGGGTGTCGGGGGATAACAAGAAAGCCAAAAAAAACTAAACATTGAACCGGGCTCGGCCCGGTCCGGTCTGGTTAGGCCCGAACCCGGTATGAACTCGAGTCGGTTCCGGGCCCAAGTACCTGAAAAAAAGCCCGCTCGGGCCCAGCACGGGTCCATCCCTAGGCCCAATACAACTAAAGTCGTCCCTAATGTGCCTCCAAAACATCAAACGGGAAGGATGGTCGAAGGATCTCTTATGGGTCGAACGGAAGTAGAAGGATGGCTGAGTCCCCATAGAGATCGAGCCTCGAGTCTTCAAGCATAGAGCCTAGGCTTCGACTCGAGTCGGTCCGGGCCGAGCCTTGGGCCGGGCTTGACCGGTTTTTTTTTTGGTTTCTTGAGGCCGAGAACCGGCTTGGGTAGTTACCGGGTCGGGCCTTGGCTCGGGTACATTATTTATTTCTGATTTTCTAATTACTTCCTACCCCACGGCCCCACCACAAACCCCTCCAAAACACCCAGTCCAACCCATTTACCTTTTAAAGAATTTGAAAAACAAAAAAATAAATAAATTTGGCTCGAATCGAGCCCAGCCTGGCTGAGTTGGTTCATGTTTTTGAGACTCAGAGCTAGGGATGGACCCGGGCTGGGCCCGGGTCAAGGTAATTTGTTTTTTGCTTTATAATTAACCCCCCCCCCCCTCCACCCCCACCCTCAAAACATCTAGCCCTAACCAAGAAAAACAAAAAAAAAGAAAAAAACAAAAAAACAATAAAAAAAGCCCGGGCCCGACCCGAACCGCCTGGACCGGTTTAACAAATACATGGCCCGAGCCCGGCCCGCCCAAGCCTCCCCAACTGGGTAAAAGCGCGGGCCCAATTAGCACCAACCGGGCCAGTCCGGGCCCACAGAGTGGCAGGCCGGGCCGCTTCCGGGTGGGGCGAACCAGTTGGGTCCATCCCTACTCAGAGCCCGTCCCGAAACAGTACCGGGCCGGGTGGCCCGAACCGGACACATACCTGGCTGCCGGGCCGAAACAGTACCGGGTCGGGCCAGTTACGGGTTGGTTGACCCAACCCAAGTCCATCCCTAATAGAGCAAAGGAAGTGGGCTAGCATTCCCAGGATCACACAAACAATATACTCCCTCCGTTCCTAAAAATTCTTCCAGGTTTGACTTGGCACGCTTATTAAGAAAGTGGAATAAAGTGGAAATGTATGGTTGTGGTTGTGTAAGAAAAAGGTAAAATGAATGTGAGACACACAAATTGTCCAAAATAGGAAAGTGAGAAGTATTTTTGGGAACAACCCAAAAAGGAAAATGGGAAGTATTTTTGGGAACGGAGGGAGTACAATAGAGGTCGGGCTGAACAATTGACACGCTTGACACTAGACCAGATGCTCTCCCCTTAGCTTATGTGACCAGTCCCTCCCTTATATCATCGGTGCGGAGATCTAGCTAATCCATACTTGGAATATGATGAGAAACCTCAATTGTGGAAAGTATCACATTAAATGAGAGGTATGGACTATGGACTGAGCAAGTGAACCGAGCATGTGTAGTAGCAAGAAATGGTGGGATAACCCAACAAAGAGGGAGCTGACACATCAACTGTGACATCGCACCCGAACGTCCTAGAAATTCAAATTAAATTTCAAAGTTTGTGTATTGAATTTCCCTATTATCGAACAATTGTAGAACGAGTAATGTTTTACGCAATGCATGATTGATCATACTGTCGTTTGGGCTCGTATAATAGTAATGGACTTCCAAATACTCAATTGGGCCATCTTATTGAATATAGGGGCCCAACATTATTTAAACAAAGATATATAATCCTTCGATACAAGTAAGAACAGTCGGGCAGCTCAAATGTTATTTTGGGCCTAACCTGCTAAAAATAGTAAGTATTCAGGAAGGACGTCCTTGGCCCATTCGAGAATGGTCCTCACGGCTTGTAGCCCGGGAATATGAATTCAATGGTCATACATAAGTGAATGTGTTGGTTAGAGAAGAATACAAACTCCTATGGTCCCACCTTAGGCATTATTGAGCTAAGTAATGGGAATAGGGTTTTCTTCTATAATTATACATCATATAAATTATTGGGATTATCCTACTCATGTTAGAGACCAATAAAATGATGTGAATAGTTGACTTGTTCTAAATAAATTAGAATGAGTACACAAAGACTTCTTATGACGAAAGATAAAATAATAGGACCCATCTTTCCATCTTTGGAAGTATTAGCAGATATTTTACTCCCAAAAATAATTAAGGAAAACAAGTGTGTGTTCCACACCTTCCCAGCTTCTGCAAAACAAGTAAAGGACGTTAGAAGAGGGAGAGGGGGGCTGGACTTCACAAAACTACAAAAGAAACAAAGAAGGGAGACCCACCTTGTCAATTCTGCACAAAATGGGTGTGTGGTTTGTCTCCCTCCATAGTGAGAGTTGTACTCGTCCAATGAAGGCGATTAAGGTATCCCTGCATAGCCTTTGAAGTCTAGTTTCATTATTGAGTGGGTTCTGATCAAGAAGAGAGAGCATTACTGACAATAATCGAGGTTGAGTGAACTGCTGTGTATAAACTCGAGCAGTGAGAATGTTGGTGTTGTTTGGTTCGTATCTTGAGCTATACTCATCCAAATAGAGCGTGTGAGGTGTCTACAGAAAAGCTCTCAAGATAAGTAATCCGTGGAGGTATGGATCGAAGGAAACGGAGTAGTGGAAGGCTTCCAAATTGGTGAAATAAAATGCTACCTTGCAGAAATGGTTTTGCTTATCTAAAGTGAGTTTGAATCCAAAACCTTCCTTTTCATTATCTAAATGATATGAACGAATTGTGGAACTATTATACACTATTTCAAGGGTATTATATGTTCTTCATAAGGTTACTTTATTGAAGTAAATGTTAGATGCTAACCTAGAACAAACCTTGAAAGGTTAGGAAGCGATTTCGCCGGAAAACACCCATTCTAGGGGCTGTTTTCGTATCATCGGTTAGGAGTTGAGCTAGCACCTTGATGAGGCTGTCTAACAATCAATTTTTAGCAAGGAATCAGTTCTCAAACTTCCTTGTCTGAAGCTTTGAGCATTGGATTTAGAAGGAAAGGGTTAAAGCTCATTTGAGGTGAGGATCGACATCTAGTTGCTTACAACTTGCAGGTTAAGCATGAGATTACCTAAATGTATAAATCATGTTTTTAATGGATTA